TCATGTTTCAAGAGCTTGAGATGACTAATAAATGCAAGGAAAAATTAAAAGTGCATGTTGCATGAATTTACATTTTTGGATCATAAACACTATATCATGCACGGGATTGAACTGTTCTACTCTATTGAAGTCTACCAGCATTGATCAGAATTGTAAGAGATTGGTCACAACTATGATCATGAGCGCGAGCGGGTAACTACTGCAATTTTCTGGTTTGTTTTTGTGATTTTAATTGTATTTTGGGTTTTTGGGCCTTTTTAATCTATTGTTTTGAATGGTTTTTGAACTTGAGATGTACATCTTGAACCCAATAAAGGCTGACAACTCTAGGCAGATGATTGGATTTGGAGATGGTTTTTCCTTTTTTTTTTTTTTTTTTTACCTTCTATGCTGATTTTGGATGTTTATTATTTCCTCTTTTGTTTTCTCCATGACTATGTTTGAGTATTTGCTATTGTTTTTAGGACCGGGTATAGTTCTTAACATTTTAAGGAAATTATTAGTTTTATTATGGCAAAATTGATTATCTTCTTATTATGCTTTTATTATTTATTTGCATAATTTTAAATGATTAGGAAAAAAATCTGAAAAGATAAATCTAAATATTTTTTGAGAATCAAATTAATTAACAAAAAGTATTAATAGTTTAATTAAATATAGTTGGGATACAAACAAGTCTCATATCGATAAAATAAGACAATAAATAACAATTTATATAACACAAACATACTTCAATGATTGAGAGGCCTTTTGGGTGATGACCAAAAGCAAAATTGTGAGGGTTTAGTCCTAAAGCGGATAATATCTCTTCATTGTGGAGTATGCTTGTGTAATAACCTTATAAAAATAACTCTCATAAAATATCCCCTCAAACAAACACCATATAATAACTCCATCAATCACAAAAATAAGGGTCATTCTACTTGAATACACTTTTGAGTCAATTTTAAATCAATTCAAAAATATAAATATAATAATGATAATAATAAATCTATTGGTTATTATTGTGCGAAAAACAACTGTCAAAGTAGTAGTTGTTTTCTTTTGATCTCTCTTATTCTTGATGTAATATTAGGCTTCATGAGAGAGGTACAGGTATGCTGGTGGAGAAAACAAAAGTCACTGGTTAAACTCTCCTCTTTTCTTCCTTCAAGTTTCTAAGTCAAGATAGAGAGGTCCTTGAGTGTGTGGAAGAACTATGTTTCGTGTGACCAAGAACCAAAGTGGGTTTAGTGCGAAGGTTCTTCAAAGCTCAAAGTTCTTCTCTTCCTTTTTCTCTCTTCTCCTTCTTTCTCTCCTCACTTTGAAAGTTAGGAATTATAACACCCCGGAATTTCTACTAGTACAATATCAATTATTATTTGTTTTTATATTTATGAAGAATATTTTTCTTAGTTATTTTAGTTAATTAAAAGGGGTTTTTATTGAATTTTTTATAAGTTTGTAATAATTTAATTATTTACGAAAATTTTTATATAAAATTCTGTTTCTTTACACTGGAACGGGCTGTTCCGAAAGTGGAACGGGCCGTTCCAGACAATGAAAATAAACTGTTTTTGAGGAAGTAGAACGACCCGTTCCAAAAGTGGAACAGGCCGTTCCAAATGTGTAAAATGGCCTATTTGGGTTTTTCCGGAACGGGCTGTTCCCAAAGTGAAACGGGCCGTTCCGAATTTCTAAAAATGCTTAAAAAGTTGAGTTAGAAACTGGGCGTTCCGATTAAGGTCAATCTGTGTAAAAATGTACTTTAGAACGGGTCGTTCTGCTTTTTGAAAACGGGCCGTTTTGATTTTGGAACGGGCCGTTCCAGTTGAAAAATTTGCCCATGTTTGAAGAATTCGGAACGGGCCGTTCCGAAATCAGTACGGGCCGTTCTGGGAGAGAGAGAGAGAGAGAGAGAGAGAGAGAGAGAGAGAGAGAGAGAGAGAGAGAGAGAGAGAGAGAGAGAGAGAGAGAGAAAGAGAGAGAGAGAGAGAGAGAAAGAGAGAGAAAGAGAGGGAAAGAAAGAGGAAATCCAGAGGAGGAGGTCCTGCCCAAGTTTCAGCTCCGCTGATCCAAGTAAGGGGGAGTGAGAAACCTCGCTCGGGAGTATGGGGATAATTGTTGGATAGTTTGATTATCGGATTGGCCCCCAATCCCTTGTCGTTGTTCTATTTTATTTCTGTTTTCTCTGCTCTGTTCCTTGTTGAAAATAATAAATGATTATGTAACCCCAATCCCTTGCCGTTGTTTTGTCTTATTTTCTGGTTGCTCTACTTTATTCTTTGTTGGAAATAATAAATGATTACGTCATTAACAATGAATAAGTTTTAATATGAATAAGAATGTCCTTTGTGAATTCCTATGCGGACCTTATGAGGAGTATTTATGACATGACTATGTGAAATACGGACAAAAGACATGAGACCTAAAAAATGGACTATTGAGACAAGCTGTGATTATAAAAATATAAAAAATGATGACATGATGTACTAAATGAAATTCTGTAATAAGTCAAATGTTGAGTTAATGAAATAATGAATGTATGACATGCATCCTATGCATATATTATTCCAAGTGTGCCGCTGAGGCCGCATACCAGTGATGTAACCAGGTGTACCTTAGGGTCACTATTGATGATACGTGAAACTTCCATATGGCGCCACATGCATGCATTTGTGAGTCGAGTCCATGATATCATTGCATGATAAATGAGTGTATATGTGATATTAATGATGTATGTGTATTGTTTACATGTGACTTATATTTGTTGTGTGTGTGTGGGTGCTATCTAACCTTTATTTCTACACCTGAAACTGAGTGAGATGTTTCTCACTCCCTTGTTGTTCTTGTATATGTTTAAATTATGTTGCAGGTGATCATCATCATGAGGATGTTGGTGATGAGGCTAAAGGGTTCAGTTGGGCATGCTCTGATAGGATGTGACATCGGGCATAGCTAGGCTTAGTTTGAGATATTATTGTTTTAAAATCCTTTTCTCTTCTTTTGTAATTTTGAACGTTCTTGAGAAAAGACCAAAATGTATATCTTTGTCATACTATTTTATTACATGATTTAAAAGTTATAAATTAATTCCTAACTAGGAGGCACTACCACCTTTGCTGGAATTAATCTATATTTTCTTTTATATGATTTCTTGAGTTTTGATACTTATGTGTTGACCTTTTTATGATTTATGAGTTACGAATGTGAATCTTCTACTTGATGATAATTGAGACAATTATTTTATCCATGAAAGAGGTTGTCAACTATGAAAGACTTTATTTACTAAAGAGAAAAAAAAATTATTGTTTACATTTATTGTGCATTAATGTTGGGGTAGAGGGTGTCACAGGAATCGAGGGAAGGAGAGCTGAATTTAGTTATCATATGAGTTGTTTGATTGTTTATAATTTTGGAAAGCTTAATCTTGTTTAAGAATCTTTGACATTTGTGGTTGAGTTTAATTTTTTGGCACGTTTAAATAAGGAGGATTGAATGTTGATGCATGTTCCTTTTTCCTTTAATTCTGAATTGCATGCTGTAACAAAATGGAAAGTTTTGTGGTTGCATGTTTAGGTTATTGTCTAAGTTAAAAAAATTTGGAGATTTGGGGTGTTCTTCATTAATGCTTAAAAATCTATTTTTTAAGGATGACACTGGATTTTCACGCTCAACATGAGAATTGGGAAGTGTATTTAAAAGGTTGAGCCTGAATGTGAGTTTCACATTTAGTGTCAAAACTAAGTGGGTCTCTAGGGGGCTAGCATTAAGCATGAAATTCCATCCTGAACGTGGAAACTTAAAATTTTTCTTATATAACTCTCTAGAAACTTGAAGTTGAGCATGAGATTTTACACTTAGCGTGAGGACTTGGTCAATTTTTTTTAGTTTATTAAATTTAAGGTAAATTTATTTTTAGTCTTTCAAATTTAAAAATTGATCATTTTAATCCTTGTAATTTAAAAAAAAAAATTTGTTGTAGTCCTTATATTCAAATTTTGTTAAAAAAATATGTCACATAAAATTTAACTAGTGGTATCCCTGTTAGTGAGAATAACACATTAAATCTAATTGATAATGCATAATTGTTTCAATTTATTACTTTCAGATATATTATTACTAATATAAGAGATTAAAATAAAATTTTTAAAAATTATAGGAATTAAAAATAATAATTTTAAATTTGAAGGACCAAAAATAAATTTATCCTAAATTTAAAAGATTAAAAATATATCTAAATCATAAAAATAAACAAATAAATAAATAATATTATCATTTCATTTTTGAATCACAATAATTTAATAACTACAAATACAATTACTTTAAATTTGATATTTATTAAATACTTGTTGTTTTCCTCGTTATAAATTCAACCTCGTTATATAATATCACAAAAGCATTTAATTATAGTGAACTTTAAAAGAAATTATCTTTCAGCTAATAAAATATTTTATTAGAATTATAATAATAATTCTATTTTAAATTTGTCTTTTGAATATTTTGGGATGCAAAAATAACTCATACATTGAGTTATTATATATATATTTTATTCTAATTTATACGGATAGAATTATTAAATACAAATAAATAATATTTTATTAGACAAAAATTATTATACTACATTTACTATTAAAGATTAGAAAATCCGTTAATTATATGCAATTTTGAATAAAAAAGTTGCATATTTTTTTATCAAAATTCTTTTACTAATCCATAAAGAAGTTTTTAAATAAAAAAATAAATTTAATATTTCCCATATAAAACTTGCAAGGAAGATAGTGTTATAAAAAAATTAAAATAAATACATTTGGACACATGACATATTAAGTTAATATTCTTTATCCTTTTTAATGATAACACATTTAACTCGAGGGCAATAAATTAATATTATTCCATTTTTCCACAATATCAAATAATGTGAGAGAAAGAACGATGGAAGGAAGAGCAAAAATAAGTGGAGGACAATTTGGTCATTTTGCATAGCAGCAGTGACCAATTCCCATCTTCATAAAACCAACCAATAGCAAACAGCAAAAGAAATATCTCACTGAAGAAGAAAGATGGCACGGTTGTCGCTGCTGATATTTCTGTTCTGCGCCGCCGCCTTCGCCGCCGCAGGCTCCACCTTCGACGAATCCAACCCTATCCGTCTTGTATCGGACTTGGAATCGCAGGTCCTCGACGCCATAGGACAGAGCCGCCACGCTCTCTCCTTCGCGCGTTTCGCTCGCCGGCACGGCAAGCGCTACCACTCCGTCGATGAGATTAGGCACCGCTTCCGGATCTTCTCCGATAACCTCAGACTCATCAGATCCACCAACAAGAGGCCTCTCTCGTACACGCTCGGCATTAATCGTTTGTGCTCAGTGCTCACTCTCTCACTCTTTCTCTCTGTTTCGCACTTTGATTTTGATTCGATATGAAAATTGTGAACTCTGGTCTCGCAGATTTTGCTGACTGGACTTGGGAGGAGTTCGCGAGACACAGACTCGGCGCCGCTCAGAATTGCTCCGCCACGCACAGAGGCAACCACAGGCTCACCGATGCCCCTCTTCCAGACGAGGTACTTTCATTCAATGTAACTCTTACTGTTACTGCTTCATTTCGTGTAATAAATGAACGAGGCGATCGTGTGAACTTTCGTTTTAAACCAAGTAATGCGCATTTTGGCTTGTAGTACGCTACCGTCTGGTGTTAATGTTTGATAATGTAAGTTATGTAACTGAATAGACGGAGTCTATCTCTGCATAGAAGGAGAATGTCGCGTAGTTGTTGTGACTGTTTGATAATTTTACTTAAATTTCACTCTACACCTGACTTTGGATAAAGTTATTCATGTCAGTCACGGTGAATGGTTGTAAAGAAGAAAGAAAAGAAAAAGAGAGAAACTAAAATGTGTGATAACTGATAAGTGACGTGATGAGAAGTGGAAAAGGAAACGGAAAGAAAAATGAGATGGAAAAGAAATGGAGGAGAAAGTAGATGTAAACCCTATTGTAAAAGAACTAACGTGAATAATGTTTTTTAAAGCTAGGAAGATGAATTTTTTAGTTAAGTTAGGGATTGAAATAAACGACTGATTCAATATCAGATATTAAAGTGAGACTTTACTCTTCCATATCCATATCCATTTCCCTAATACCTATTGGCTATTAGACTGCAACTGGGCCCTTATGCTTGCTTTTTTTTTTTTTTTTTTTTTTTTTTTTTTTAAATTCTTGCATTTGAGGAGCCTTGTTTGTGTATGAATTTGTTTTCTTGTGTGCAGAAAGACTGGAGAAAAGAAGGTATAGTCAGCGAAGTTAAAGATCAAGGCCACTGCGGATCGTGCTGGACATTCAGGTTTCTTATAAAGCCAAAGAAAATGATTAGAATGGGAAAATATTCGAATTTATCACGCTTCTAACCGTAACACTTGTCATCTGCAGCACAACTGGAGCCTTGGAGGCAGCTTACGCGCAGGCTTTTAAGAAAAATATCTCTCTTTCTGAACAGCAGCTAGTGGATTGTGCCGGTGCTTTCAATAACTTCGGCTGCAACGGTGGTTTGCCGTCCCAAGCCTTTGAATACATTAAATTCAACGGTGGCATTGACACAGAGGAAGCATATCCCTACACCGGACAAGATGGTGTCTGCAAATTTACAGCTGAAAACGTTGCTGTTCGAGTCGTTGACTCTGTTAATATCACCTTGGTAATTAAACGGATAGATAGTTTTCTGCTTGATGTGTCATTTATTGTAACATTGCTGTCGACTCTGAAATACATGACAGAATCAGATAATTCATATCTCGACTTCTTCTATATGTGATTTTCAAATGTTTTTAGTTTTGTCTCGGGTGTAGGGTGCTGAGGATGAATTGAAACACGCAGTTGCTTTTGTTCGGCCAGTTAGTGTGGCATTTGAGGTGGTGAACGGCTTCCGATTCTACAAGAAAGGAGTTTACACTAGTGATACTTGTGGCAGCAAGCCCACGGTGAGTATTCTACAGAGAATACCCGATCCTTCTCAATCTAGTGTTTAATGCAATTTTCAGAACCAAATGTTTAGCAACAAGGCCAATGCATCTATTGTTTATGTCCTATTTATGGCATCTCGAAACACAGTTGCTGTTCTCGATGCGTGTTTATAACTGTTAGCATCATGAATCTTAATTATATGCCCATTGACGAGATCTATGGTACATGTATTTTGCGTGTCTATAATTCTAAACTAAGATGTAGAGGCTTTAGAAGTCATTCGTTGGACGCTAATAAAATATGAACTTGCGTGGCAGGATGTAAATCATGCTGTTCTTGCTGTTGGGTATGGTGTTGAAGATGGTGTTCCATATTGGATCATTAAAAACTCATGGGGAGGTGACTGGGGTGACAACGGCTACTTCAAGATGGAATTTGGGAAGAATATGTGCGGTAAGCATCCACACGACCTAAATTCTTAAAGAATAGTTAAAGTTTTAAAGGGAACTAGTCTCGCACTAATTAAAAAAGGAGTAATAAAGCAATTTTTTTTTTCAACTTAGAAAATTTATCTGGAACATTATCTGGAGCATTTTTTCCCCTTTTCTAACAAACATAATTTTTCTTAATTAGTCTTCTGTATACCTGGGATTGTTATTCGTAGAAGAACGTATTAAATCCCGAGAGTCATTAAATTCATTGGCGTAGCAAAAAAAGAACACTGTCCTTGACACATCCCAGACTAACTACCAATTTTTTCCGAAGTTTTTCACCCAACGTGACCTCACCCAATTGTACTGCTCTGTCTGAATGATTGGCATAGTGTAGCGAAGTTAGATTGTGAAACCGAGGAGCAATTATAAAAAATCTAAGTTCCCTTTATTTTCTGGTTAAAATTAGGCCTCTCTAGAGTTGTTGATATTAATGTTATAATTCTACATTTATAAAGACGAGATTAGTTATTTTGCACTGCTGGCTTTTGCTAACCCCGTTGATTTAATTTCAGGTGTTGCAACTTGTGCATCGTATCCTGTGGTGGCTTAAATTGTATGAGATAACTGCACCTTGCACGTCATGCTTTGTATTGTCCATCTTAAAAGGCGAAATGTCATTGTGTACTGCGATGATAATTTCTAGTATATGTTGATGTTTATGTTTAAAATAAGTTTGGGGTTAGGTATGCCCATTCTCGTTGATGCCGAACTCGCTGCAAAATCACACTGTAAATTATGCGTCAGAGAGTATCATAGAAATTATAAACTCGTGTTCCACAATCTATAGCAATTTAACGATAGCATGCTGTTTGAAACCTGGGCACAAGAAGTTATCATTTGTCCCGATGCAATAAACTTTGCTTGGTTACTCCATCTCGTTATTACTATTTGTGCTATATAATCCTTCAGTGATACTCTTCGCTTGTTTCAATCCAAAACATAGTATTTACGATCCTGGCTACATCGATTAAAGTTCAGTACTACCATTTTGCATAAAAATCGAATTATCGGAAAATTAAAGAATGGTCATGCCCTAAAACGTTAAACCTCTTGCAAAGGGATTTGGTGCCATTTTAAACGCCACTGCTGAGAATGGCCGTGTACTGAGCGCCATGATCGATTATGACAAGCCATTCCACGTTTCTTATTTTTTTTTCAAAAAACTTTTATCTAAGGCTAACTGTAGCGTGGGTTGTTTTACATCACCTCTTTTCATTATTTAGATGTTAAAATGGGTTGTTTAAATTTTAGTAAAATTATTTATAAAAACTCCGTTGCTTAAGAAAAAGAGAGAAAAAATGTTGATGTGATAAGTGAATTGCTTATACGCTATAAATGTCATAAGTGCAAGTTCTTCGGCTTTGCTAACACTACAGATGCTTTTTTTAAGACACGAAATTCTAGGCCTTCTCGACTTCTTGAAGAAAATATTCACTACAAATCCGCTTAAAATCCAATAACTTTATTTTTCTTATATAAAGTGCATATTTGATTTATTTCATTTTTAAAATAGCTTATTTATGTAACATTTTTTTTCTTATACATCAGTGTTATAAGATTTTGTTTTAGAGATTTTTTTTTTTTTTTTTACTTTCACATCAGTATTCTAAGATTTTGTTTAAGACTAATTTAATTCAATCGGAAAATAAGTAAAGTTTGACTACTAATTTTTATAATGTCTTATAAGAAATAGAAACAATTATTTTAAATAAAAAAAACTATAGCCAAACATATAATAATACTTGTGATTTTCTGTTAGGAATCACATACATTTTATTTGTATACCAAATACATACAGCTAAAAGAACCAAAATGCGTTTATAAACATTTTGTGGTAATAAAACACACGACCCTATTTTTAATTAAATTTACCACTAGATGTATAGGGCTCGTATCACTAAATCTAATTTATTCACCAAAAAGTAATCACTGAATCTAATTTTAAATCATTGGACATTTGTTAGGAACTAGATTTAATAGAAACACACAATATTATTGATTTCAAATAAGGAAAACTATCACAAAAGATAACCCATGTAATCCCAAAGCTAATGCTCCTCATAGAAGAGATGACTTTCTCCATGTCAACCTCTCAAGGTTCTAACAGAAAAGATTCCTCATGCCTTCATCATTGCAGTCCCCATTCCCTATAACTAGGGTGCCTCTCCTAACCAACTAGCCGCGTCAACAATTGTAACTAACTTTGTGTTGAGCTCAGCTTATTGGGCTTTAGGCCCAAACCAGTATCCTAACAACATTAATTGTGAATTTCTTTTAGCATAGTTTATCGATGGATCATGAATATTTAGCATTTTAGCTATTGGAGGTCATATTTGCAACTAACAGCCCAATATAAAACTCTTTTCCATGAAAACGTGCCTGGTGAACTAATATGCTAGTGCTTTATAGTTTACTGGTGTAGGAGTCATTTATCGTCCTTTAAAAGTTCCGATCTGAATTAGTTTCAAACATAGAAGAGCATTTCAATTGAGATAAGTATTTGATTCCTAACTTTCCAAAATGCTTTATAAATTTATAGATGTTTATAGAAAAGTTAGATACGAGAAATTAAAACAAAAGTGTATCATGCAAAAAAGAAAAAAAAAAAAACATTATACGTTAATTCATTTTATAAATCATTTCAATGAACCTTAAAATAAAAGGCCATCGAATCAATTCATCAGTGATTTACAGCTTTTCCCCCCGTGAAGTTGACAGTTCACAGTTGCAACTCAAGCTAGCAATGCCAGGCTTACCAGCGGAAAAAGAAACAGCTAATTCTTACAAATACTTAAACCATCAAATTTTGATTCCCTTCTAATACAGGTCAATCCAGATTGTATTATAAAGTCCTGAACGTGATTAACTTTCAATCAGAGGATTTAAAACCATTTTCCTAGTGCAACAGAACTAACCAATATCAGGAGTGCTATGATACAATGTAATACAGGGTAAAAAAATTGGTGAATTTCTTCCAAATGTTGATAATTTTTTTCCCATTTCACTCACACCACGTGTAATTTAAGGACAAAAAAAACATGCACACTCGATATCATATGCACGAAACATGAGAAATTGTTAATACTGGACCTAGAAAAATAATCTGAATTACATTTCTTTATTAACAAAAAATTTATTGAGAAAGGAGGGATACAAATGCAAGAGGATATAAAATCCTCAAAATCTACACGAAGAAATAAAGGTAAAATAGACAAATAAAGAACATGAAACATGTAATACAGCACGCCAATGGCCAACCTCTACCCCCAAAAAAATCCATTAGCAGAACAACACAAAGAAGCTTCCATTTATAGATGCATGATAAAGAAATTCAAGACAATAGAACCAACAAATTTATCTTCTTGGGTAAAGTCAGCTACATAAATTACATGAAGCTATTGGGCTAGGTTAACAACCAAATTCTAGGGATATTATTTATCATGAGATCCCCTTAAATAATTTCTTCTAATGTCCTTCTTGATTTCCTTTCTAGCCCTCTTTCACAAGGCTAAAAGCCATGTGATCTACTCTCCTTACTGGTGCCTCTATTGGCATTTTTCGTATGAGTTCAAATCACCTTAACCAATTTTCTGTCATCTTCTCCTTGAAAAAGGTGTCACACCAATAGCTTCTTGTATAAGTGTATAACCAAGTTAGCATAAACAAAAATTCAATTTTAGTTGAAAAACTAACTTAGAAAAAAGATAACAAGAGGAAACCATACCTACCTGCAAGTTCCAAAATTATCTGCAAAATCTTGGAGGGACTGGCAAATTCAAATTCCCTTGATTTGATAATCTCCACTAAAGAGACACACTGCCTGGTGAATGTATTATGCCCCAAAGCAAAACAGTGGAAGGCAGTTTCTAAGTCTAACCACTGATTTGAAGTAGTACTTTAATGAACAGGAATTGACTTATCAGCATTTATACTATCATGATAAGATTTTTTCAGTAAGGTGCCCTGGTTCTCAAATAAAGTTTCCTTAACCCGGGCAGCCTCACCAGGCATCCCAGCCTTCAAAAGACATGAACTTAAGGTTCTAAGTGTGATGTCATCTGGGGAACAACCAGCTGCCAACATCTTGTAAAAGATACCAATTGCTTCATCCATTCTTCCTTTCATACAATGCCCAATAATAAGAATGGTAAATGTCAACTTATCAGGCTTGCACTTCTCTTCCATTTCTGCTACAATTGCATTAGCTTCATCAATGTTACCAGATTTGCAATATCCGTCAATGACAGGGTTGTAGACAAAAGACTGTGGAACAATTTCACTCTGTTTCAACAGTCTCAAAAGGTCACGAGCTTCATGCAGTCTATTGCTCTTGCACAGAGCACTGATAAGAACAGAGAAAGTATACAAATTTGAAGGAATGTTTCTTGCATTCATTTCATGCCACAGGTGCAAGCCATGGTTCACCCATCCCACTCGGCAATAGCCATCAATTAGAGAAGTTAATGTAACAACATTGGCAGTACAACCGTGAAATATCATCTTCTTGTGCATGCCTAGTGCAGAAGCCATGTCACCTGCCTTAACAAAGCCATCAACAAGGGCACTATACGTAAATGCATTAGGCTTGATTCCAGATCTAACCATCTCATCAAGAAGAGAGGAGGCCTCCTTCATCTTACTCAATCTGCAATAACCTGATATCACCGTTGTATAGCTCACAACATTAGGAGCAAACTCACATTTCAAACAAACTTCTCTTAGTAAACCCCTTGCTCTATCAACCTGGTCAATTCTACATAAACCATGTAACAAAGTGTTATACGTAACTATGTCAGGGGAACAACCAAAACTTCTCATGTCACTGAGAAGCTCAAAAGCTTCATCAACTTCTCCGGCTGTGCACAAACCTTGGATTAAAATGTTGAAGGTGACGGTTTCTAGATGAGAATGTGATCTCGTAAGCTCCCTAAACAGACAAATGGCATCATCTAATTTACTGTGTTTTATCAATATGTTTAAGAAGTTATTATAAACAATGAAATTTACTTGAACCCCATTGCACTGAGCTTCAGCAAGTAATTCCTTTGAAACGTCAAACCTATCAGCCAATGCAAAAGAAGAAACCAAAAATCCCAAAAGCCTGGAATCAGGCAATTGGCCAACAGACCTCATAGAATCATACAACATTTTTGCTGTATTGTGGAGACCTGATTGACAAAGGGACCTCAAAAGCATGTTATAAGTCCAGAATGAGTGAGACATATTCAACCTCTCCATAGTGAACTGAAAGAACTTGAAACCTAAGTTGGGATTGTTAAGCCTTCTAACAACCTCCAACACATGAGAAGGAGTTAAGTGTTGACGAAAATAAGCCACAAAGCTATCATCCAAAGAGTCAGAGCGAAGAAAGAGAGTAGAAACAATCTTTACAAACCAAGAATCAGAATTAGGTGTTGTTGTGACTAACCCTTTGTCAGAAGCTCTTACCTGAGTAAGAGTGCGGTAATGCGAAGCTCGAAAAGCGGTGAAGGATGAGAAAGTCATCAGCTCGTATACGCCATAGGGAAAATCCACGCAGTGACACTCTTCGGAAATTAATGGAAATGTTGTTTGAAGAAGAAATTCATGGTATGAAGGAAATTTGGAGGGTTGATCAAAATCAGGAATACTATAAATTCCTCAAAATCAAAGCACCCCTTCACCCAAAATTGAAGAAAGATTATATCTTGAATGATGTCGAACGAAGTTCCCTTCGCAAGTTGTGTCTATAGTTGCTACGTTTCATGGCGATACTCTGAGGAGGGTTTAGGGGTTTGATTCGGTATCCCAGCTATCGACACAAATATTTATTTTTTTAATCTCTAAAAAAATTATAAAAACGATCGAAAAGTATTTTCATATATTAAGCACAAATATATATTTTGTAAGAGAATATTTTTAAAGTTTTTTTGAATCTTTTAATTATTTATTTGTTTTTATCTTATTTAATTTTTATTTATTATAATTATTTATGAACTAAATTTTAATATTTTTAAAATAAATTATTAATAAATAAAAATATTATTATATAATATAAATTATTTACAATAATTTAAAATATAATTTATATATAAAATTTTAA